TTCTTCTCCATTCGAAGCCTTTTCCAGTCGTCTTGCCCTTCCAAAACGACGCGAAACGGATCTGGAAGACGCGAGCGGGGGTGGATTGCTTTGGTCCACGTACGTCTTTTTTTACAATCGCAAGCTGAAGCGTATCCTCTTTGTGGAAGTTTGGGCTCGTCGACGCGCAACGCCGCGACTGCGTCCTTCTTTCCCTTCCTACTCTGCCCCTACATACTCTCTGGGACCTTCCAAGACGACGACGACGACTTCTTCCATCGCTTCGCATCAACACCACGCGCCTCGCAAAGAGCCAGAGGTATTGCGATTGCCTTCTTCGCCGGCTATCGCTACGCCTCTGCAAAGTCCGGCCAAGCGAGCCGTCGGGAAAGCGAACGCAGGCAGAAAGAGGAGAGCACCTAGCGGATCTCCTGCGCCTAGTGCCATGTCCCCCTTTCCTCATGCTAGTCCTCAAGCTTCGTCTGAAGCCGACCAAGCTTATCCGCCGTCCGTTTCCTCGACGACGACGACGAATACTGATGCGAACGCGAACGCAGAAAGTCGCCCCACTAGTTCTGCTGAACTGTCTAGCAGCCTTCTGTCCGCTGCTACGAGGAGCAGAACTAGACTAGGCAGCGCACTGGCTAGAGGCGCTATGCAGGGATTGGACGAAGCTATGATGAGCGCGAGCGCTCCGGCTTCGGCCACTCGGAGTACGCCGGAGGCTAAGCGGCTCAAGTCTTGAAGACGAGGGCAACAGCTTCAGCACGATTGAGGGTGCGCGCAGGCTGCCGCTCCTTTCGCAATCACGGGCCCGCTGGCCCGGATGAGATTCGTTCGTTCGTGCGTGCGGCGTTTTTTCCCTCTGCCCCAAACCAACGCGAGACGCCGTTGACCGCTCTTCTTGACGAGAACATCGGAGATCACTTTGTAAATCGATTCGACCCAGACGCCTTTCCTCTCTCGATTTTTTGATTGTACAACACCCTCCGACCGATCTTCTCGAATTCGAGAAATCGGGACGTACCCTGTATCTTGCCTTGTTTGTTTTTTGTTTTTCCTTTGTGGGGGAGGGGAGACCATGTATCTACCTTGCTCCACGCGTCTGACGAATCTGACTTGGCATTGTTCAGCATGCCTCTCATCTGTACCCACGCCACTCTATCCGCAGGTCGAGTCTGAGTCAACATTCGAATGATGATCCTCCTGTGATCTGTGCCGTGTGTCGATGATGGCGAATGGAAGGATTCGCTCGTCACACTACACTATCTGCAGATGTGTGAATTTTTGTGAATCTTCTCGACGAAGAAGAAGAAGAAGAAGAAGAAGAAGAAGAAGAAGACTTGCGCAAAAGTGCATGGGGAGAAGGAGCGCTGGATGGCGCGCGATGATCCTTCATATGCTGCATCATCGCCGCGGGCCTTTCCACACTTGACTTCACTTTCGAGCATTTGCGGGCTGCTGCTGCTGCTGCCGCATTTGCAGGGTTTGAAAGACTTGTAAAGCTTCAAGCAACCATCAGCAACGATGGGGAATTGTCGATTGCGGTCAAAAGCTAGCGAGGGAACGTGCTCTTTGCCATCCCTGCCCACGTCCGCCTCTACTGCTATGCATGGCGTGCGTGCCTGCATGAGCGTTGCAAATCGCGATCGACGTGCAGATTCAAATTGACGATGGAACGAACGATTGGATTGTTGCT